ATCCCAACCATGTTCTTAAAAACAAGAAACTGGGAAACATGTGAAAAGACACTGGAAACATCCAGGTGGCTAGAAATCATCAGGGGTGATTTTTTTCTCTTCCACATATTTTATCTAATGTTATAAAGTTTAATAATTAAAAGATACAATGTAGAATAGTAACACTGAATTTGATTGCAAATTTAATATATTGACTATGTCTTACAATAATAGCCACCAGAGATGTAAAGAGTAAACAGATGGATTAAAAATCCCAGGGAAAGATTCAACATCCCTATGAATTTTACTCTCTGAATTCATCTTCTTGACTGGTAACCCTGTGAAATCTCAGGTCCAGACCAAATCTTGCCTCTGAGCAGCAGCAGGAGGAAACATGATGCCTCTTTGAAACTGAACAATAAATCCGGTTTTTATGGAAATGCCATCTGGGGCGTTTCACCGCTGTGATCACCTGTCATTCCCTGAGTGGGGGCCGTTCCCAGAGCAGGGTGAATTATGAGTAAACTCACTGTGGTAGGACTCAAATCCTTCTATCTGCCTTGAAATAGAAAGCAGGTATGAGACAGGCCCTTAGAGAAAGTTAGGTGATCAGGCATAAAATACAAGGTCTTCACTTAGCAACCCTTGGACCCCAGCAGTGGTAAAAGGGAAGAAAAGGATTCGGTTTCTGTATTCTTACCATGGCTAATCAGGCGGTTTTGCACTATTTCCACTCCCTGATGCACCACGCTTTTCAAGCTGTCCAGGGCTGTGTTTGAGAAGGCCAAGTTCTTCATCATCAGGACGCTGATCTCGTAGGTGCCATTCTTGCATTTCTGAGTCACTTGGGAGTCCCAGGACATGAGTCCTGGAAGGAGGAGCAATGAACACAAAGCCAAGCCCCACAGTGGTGTCTTCATGACCTCGCTCACCTCAGAACCATACTCCTTGGGCTCGCTTGCTTTACTTTGGGCTTTTAGGGAGACAGGAACCCCAACTGGACAGCCTCTAGCTGGGTCCCTCGGTCCACTCTTCGCCACGCTCCTTTCTGGTCGTGCCCCACTAGTCACGTGGACCATACAATAAGCCTGCTTGCCAGTAATTAGCAGCTACATTATGGTAGGTGATAAACCAAAGTTCACTTTGTGTGTTTGCTCACAGGAAGATCTGAGTTATAAACAGGGAGATTACCTGGGCCTCACCCAAAAAAGATACATCAATTTATGACACATCGCTGGGAAGATGGAAGAGGGAAGTAGAGTATATACATAAAAAGCTTCAAGCTTCGTAAATGGAAAATAAGGTCAAAGGGCTTACAGTGGACTACTTTTGTTTAGGTTATAACTGCGTATTGAAACTGAATCCTTAACTATGAAGAGCTGTTTTTCAATCACCCAGTCAGCAACCATTTATTGAGACTTGACTATATGTTGGTCATTGGCAAGCCATGGGGCATACAGTCATAAACAATATTACAGTAAGTCCCCGACTTACGAATGAGTTCCGTTCTGGGAGAACATTCGTAAGTCAGATTCATTCGTAAATCCAACAAAGTGAGTCTTATACATCTTCAACACAAATATACAATGTAAAGCATCAAAAAAACTTAACACACACACACAAATACTGTAAATAAACTATATTTACTTTTAATAGTAACTATTTTTACTATTTAAAATGGTGGTACAGTACAGTACAACAACTGGCATGTAGGGGATTGCATGGAGTGAACTGACAAGAAGAGAGCTACTAACTGCGAGGTCCGTAGGTATCTGTGAAAGTTCGCAACTTGAATGTTCATAAGTCGGGGACTTATTGTATATTAATATCCTCATGGAACACACATTCTAGTGGGGAAGACAAACATTAAACAAATAATTATGAATAACCAAACTCAACAAAGAGAAAAAGTGCAGAGCACTGTGGGAAAATGTGGCATATTAACATAACCTATGTTAGAAACTAAAGGAAGCTTCCCTGAGAAAGGATACTGGACAGAAATTAGCTGAAAAAGAGAGCGAGGACATGTGAGGCAGGGGGACAGCTTGTGCAAAGGCCCAGATATGGAAAGTGGCATGAATGTTTCAAGAACTGAAAGAGATACAGCATGGGTGGAGTGGAGATACCTAGGAGTCCAGTGGCAATAAGATGCCAGAGGAGTCGGCAGGCTAGGTCAAGGGGTTTCCTATAAGCTATTAAGGATTTGGAACTTTATAGGAATCAAGAAAAAGAGGTGATCAGATGAATTTTGTAAAGACCACTTAGGCTTCTAAATAAGGAATGACCTGGTGAAAGGAGGGAGTGAGGACATGGAGCAAGTTAGGAGGCTGTTTCTGTGGTCTAAGTCAGAGGTAAAGGAGGGCTGGATGAGGGCTGTGGCAACAGCGATGGGTTCAAGAGAGATCTAAAAGGTATAATGAATGAGACTTGATATTCTATTAGATTTGAGGCATTAGAGACAGAGAGCAGTCAATGGTGACCCCCTGATATGCTCAGCTGGGTAGATGGGAAAGCTGTTGGCTAAGTTCTAGAACTCTGAAAGAGGAGCAGGCTTGAGGGAGGAGATATGACTTCTGTTTTTGTATATGTTGATTTTTAAGGAAACTATGCAGGTGTGAGAATAGTTCCCATGGAGTTTTGGGAAGAGGACTAGGATCTAAATAGTGGTTTGGAAATAGAGTCAGAGGTGTAGCATGATTGATCAAATAATGTCACTGTTTGCATCGTTGACTTGATGACCACTTATGGCAAAATTCATGTTTTAACGTGAGTGACATCAATGAGAAGAAGGGCCAGCCTTCATTCCTCCACAAAAACAATGAATTAACAATTATACACTGAAGAAAACAGCTCTGAGAGCGTTTTGGAATACAATGAAGAAGCTGCAGCAAGCCAGTGGAGCACAGAAACCAAGATGGTTCCACTGAAGCCAATCTATAAAGTCTGGAAGAGGTGATTGCTCCTTCAAATGCATAGACATCAATGCAAGGTTACAAGGAACATAGAAAATCAAAGAAACATGACACCACCAAAGGAACACAATAAATTTGCAGTAACTGATCCCAAAGAAATAGAGTTCTATAAGCTGTCTGACAAAGGATTCAAAATAATTGTTTTAAAGGAGCCCAACAAGCGACAAGAGACAACTCAAACACATCAGAGAAACAAAACATGAATAAGAGGAGAAGCTCAAAAAAGAGGTAGAAATTTGGAAAATAGAACCAAATAGAAATTTTGGAGCTGAAGAATACAATGAATAAAATGAAAAACACAATAGAAAGTTTCAAAAGAGCAGATTCGATCAAGTATAGAATCTGTGAACTTGAAGATATGGGAAATTATCCAGTCAAATGAGAAAAAAGAAATATAATGCAAAACAGTGAAGAATGCCATGGGATTTGTGGGACATCATCAAGGAACTAATATATGAACTATGGGATCCCAGAGGAGAAAACAGAGAGAAAGGAGCAGAATGCTTTTTTAAAGGATTAATGGCTGAAAACTTCCCAAAGCTTCAGAACAAAATTCATGAAGTTCAAAAGGTTCCATATCAGGATACATCCAAAAAACACTACACTGAGACACATTATAATAAAATTGTCAAACTTCAAGGAGAGAAAGAGAATTTTGAAAGCATCAAGAGAAAAGAAGTGACTAAT